ACTTGCCTCACTATCCAAGCTCTTTGACTTGGTTTTTAAAAAGTCCTCTACAGTCTATTCCAAATGCAGCATACTTCCAGGTATGTAGTAGTTGCTCAAGAAATATTTTTTTTTTGGTGGATAAAAGAGTATTTTGTATTTTTATAATTTCTCTAAATATCTGAAGGCTCTTATTGATATAGCCAATTTTGGCTCTGGGAGAGTCTTCAAAAAGTTCGTGGAAAATTCATATTAAGAAAGTATGATGCACCAGGCTAGTAGGTGGCATGGTGGTTAAGGTGCTGGACTCTTGCATGGCCAACCACAGTTTGAATCTCAGACCTGGTGGCTTGCTGTCTCACTTTCCTTTTCTTTCTCTCTCTGGTGAGTGTATGTGCCCTGTAGTAAATTAAAAATTAATGATAATGATAAATTAAATTGAATAAACAATTTCTTAAAAATTATGCATGGATTTGAATTTTTTGTACCAAAATAAATTTGTACTTTAATTCCATTTTTTCCCAAAAGCCTTTTGAAGTATCTTCATACAACCCCTGTTGACACCACTTAAAATTTTACTTTATATTACTATTTACTATTGTGTATCGTCATTTGCTTTTTTACTTAAAAAAAAAAATTAGGGACCAACAGGAGGCATGGTGGTTAAGGTGCTGGACTCCCACTTGGCTGACCATAGTTTGAGTCCTGAACCTGTCAGCTTGCTCTCTCACTTTCCCTCTCACTGTTTGTCTTTCACTGGTGAGCAAATGTAGCTTATAACAAATTAAAATATAATAATAAATAAAATTGAATAAATAATTATTTAAAAATACTTTAATTAATTAATTAATTATTATTATTCAATTTGACCAGAGAGAGGCAGAGAGAGAGAGAGAAGTAACAAAGCAAGCCACTAGGTCCAGGACTCAAACCATGATCATCCATGTGGGAGTCCAGCCCCTTACCCACCATGCCACCTCCAGCCCCTTATTTTTCACTTAAAAAAAATTATTTAGTTAAAATTCTAAGAGGAGATTGTGGTGTGTCCTTCTCCCAGGAGGATTGATTTCTCACTTTTCCTCTTTATTTCTCTCTCTCTTTCTCTAGTGAGTACACATGCCCTATAGCAAAAACAAAAAATGTAAAAAATAAAAACCATTTGACTAGATGGCAGAATCTTTGAGGGGATGCATGGCCTCTGTAATTTTAAAAATCACTAACACAATGTCTTGCACTTATTCATGATTATTGAACTAATGCTGGTCTTAGCCTTTGACCACCAAAGCTCTACGATGGCAAAAGTGCTATTCATTTTTGCTGAATATTAAATCCATAGGGTTGAACATAGGAGGTAAATCCCATAACAGGTGCTTAAAGTATTGTAGAAGTTATTAAACCTCAGCTTCCTCATTTGTAAAATGACATAATAGTAATACCACACACATGATCATTGAAAACACTTAGCAATTAAAATGAGCTTGGACAGATTGTCCATCTTTATCTATGGGTTCTGCATCTTTGGATTCAACCAAATGCAGATTGAAAAATATTTGAAAAAAAAGAAATAAAAAATAACACGACAATGAAACAATACAAATAAGAAACTAATATTTTATAACAGCTATTTACATAGCATTTACATTGCATTAGGTATTATAAGTAACCTGGACTTGATTTATAGGAGGATGTGCATGGCATATATGCAGATACTTTCTCATTTTAGATAAGAGACTTGGACATCTGAGGATTTTTGTATCCAGGGAATCTTACAACTAATCCCTGTGGATCAAGAGATTATTGTAAATGTCTTCATTGAAATGGCTCAGAATATAAATGAACTGTTACTGTGGATTATTTCATGATCCAGAAAGTTCATTACTGAATAATGGGTAAATGAACTCCTCGAGAAGTCTTAGGACACCTTCAGTCAGAAATCCTAGACTACATTCTAGAAGGACTCTGAGATATTAGGTTGTCTGGAAAGTCATGATATATTTTTCTATGCAAAAATGTGTTATGACTTTCCTGACGACCCAATATCTTCTATACAGTCTTCTGTTTGTGTTTTTCAGGACACTGGGTCTAAAACTCAAACCATGGAGTTGGCCATGGGAGATCCAGGGCCTTAACCACCACATCACCTGCTGGTTCTAGTCTTCTATTTTAATGCTTTCTGATTTAGTATTTTCCAATGGATAGTCAAAAACAATCAACACTTAGAATGTTTATAAATGTTACCTACAAAAAGTTTTGTAGTGAAAGAAAGAAAATACAAGAGCTGAATTATTTTTTGAATGTTCTTTAGGCAGTACATCTCATATTTTTTAATATACTGTGAATATGACATATCTTGTAATATTTCCCACCCTTTCATGATCAAGTACCTTCTCCCTTCTTTTGCTTGAATCCTGAAGGATTTATTAATAAGTGTTTATCAGAATATATTTTAAAATTTTTATTTTATTTTATTTTATTTTATTTTATTTTATTTTATTTTATTTTATTTTCTTATTCATTTATTTTATTTTATATTTTATTTTATTTTATTTTATTTTCTTATTCATTTATTTTAATTTGACCAGAGAGAGACACACAGAGAGTGAGAAGCAGAGAGAGGGTAAGTGAGAAAGCAAGCAACCAGATCTGGGACTCAACCGTGGTCCGCCATGTGGGAGTGTCCAGCGCCTTAACCACCAAACCACCTGCTGGTCCCCTATCAGAATATTCTTGAGAAAAATCTAAGATGTTTAGTTTCTAGTAATGTGCCAAAATACTGTAAAAGTAACCCTTTCCAGTGAACAAGAAGCTCTTTGGAATACCGAAGAGACAGTTGGAATAGATTTACAGAGAAATGTTATAGAGATTCCTAAAATCAATAGCTCATAACAATGATAGTTACTGAAATGATGAGTGGCTAATCAACCTGATGCTTAGCTAAGAAGGCAAAATAATTCAAATTTTTTTCCATGGTATTTTCCTTAATCTCCCTATCACTGTCAAAGTTCAAACCACATCTCTCATCCAGTGTGGAAAATCTAATTGGTACACTGGAGAGAAGCTGAAAGCTTGTTTTCATTCTCAGTGTATGCCTCTTAGAGGAGAAATTCCAGAAATTTAAGTGCATCAGGAGAAGAATCCTTTAGGTAGAACTAGGTATAAATAAATCGGAATATAATACCTTCACTGGAAAGCTGAGAGATTTTCTTTTCAAGACTACAGGTGTCAGAAGTGACAAAATTCTTATTCATTTGAGATTTCATACAATGTTGCAACTCAAGGGCTGGTTATTATTTTCCAAGACTTAAGAGTCTTTTTGAGTTTGAGAAACAGCATCTATTTACATATTGTGTCATGGTTATGAATATCTGTTGTAAACATTAGATAAATTAGATAATGCTCTGTAGATACATTCCCTAAGTAAATATTCTTTATTTACTTTTTTTTTTTCAGGTTTTTGCCATAGGGTGCATGTGTTCATCAGAGAGAGACAGAAGCATCTTAACCACCATGTCACCTGCTGGCCCCTGCAGTTTTCTTTCACTTTTCTATTTTTTTTTAGAGAGAGATTTTTTGCTATACAATACATGCACTCATCAGAGATACAGAGAGAAAGTGAGAAATCACCCCTCAGGGTGGATGGCCACACCACAATCCCTTCTCCTTCATTCTCCTCTTGAGATTTTGGACATGCATGCACATGCACCTGTTGTGAATTTCATGCTGTCTGGTCCCAGACTCGAATCACAGTTGGCTATGTGGGAGTCCACTGTCTTAATCACACCACCTACTGGTCCTATGTAGTTTACTTTTCAATGGCCTCCATGAGCTGATGTTGAGAAGTTAATTTATACCCAAAATGTTTTGTTCAGATTTTCCATGTGATGATCTCAGACAGTGGGGAGATTGATTCTAATTGAAATATTTTCTTTAAAATTCTTTTTTTCTTTTATTAGAGAAGTAGTTGTGCAGGGACCAGTGGGTGGCATAGTGGGTAAGGTTGGCAAAGTAGTTAAGGTGCCAAACTCCCACATGGCTGAGCGTGCTTCAAGTCCCAGGACCGGCAGCTTGAAACTCAGGCCGGGTGCATGTGCGTGCCTGCTCATTGTCCTGGGAGGAGGATGTAGGAGAAAGGGTGTGGCATGACTATCGCCCCTGGGGGTGATTTCTCACTTTCTCTCTTTTTGTCTCTCCAGTGAGTGTGTGCACACTACAGCAAAAATCTCTCTTACAAAAAAGTTGTACATGTTTATTAGTGTGATGTAATACATGTGTGTAATGATCCAATCAGGTCAGTACACATGTAAGCATCTTATACATTTATCATTACTTTGTGTTGTGAGCATGTGAAATCCTTTCTTACAGCAACTTAGAAATATACATGAAATTGTTATTAACTATAGTTACTATACTTTAGTATTCTAGACTTCATTTCTTTTATCTAACTGCATGTTTCTTTATTTTACAAAAAGCTATTTATTTGTTTCACAGGAGATTATGTCAAGCATCCCCAATAGGTTCCTCACACCATGATCCTCTCTGTACCCTTCACCAGCCAGGCATGCATGCCCTGCGCAAACGTGGCCCCCTCAACGTCGCCTCATCATTTCCAGTGCCATGTCATCATGTGCCATGACCAATGGCTTGCATTTTCTTTTTTTCAGTCCAACATTCTAGACTTTGGAATGGTTTTTTCTTTCCTTTAGGCAGAAACTATTAGATTCTCTCTTTTATGAAACAGGCCTTGGGAGGCAGGAGCTGAGGATCTTTGATAACACTGTCCACACACATTTTTCAATTATGAGTGCAACTAGGAAGGTGATATTCTGTCTCATTAGAAGTTCTACAAAAAAAATTTTTTTTTCAGTTTTCACGTTTACTTATCAAGTAGGCAAAGTAAAAAAATATTTTTTCCTAAGACCTAATTTTCCTTTCATCAGAAACATTTATTAACAGCTTACTACATGCCAGAATTTTAAATAAATTTCTACTCATCACAACAATTATTTTTTTTAAATTTACAGATGAGAAGCAGAAGAGCCAGGATGTCACCCTGGCAGCAGCCTCCCAGAGTCTGGGCTCCAAATCATCTCCTTGTAATGCCCACACCAGGTGTTCCAACAGAAGGTAGGAGAATTATTGGGAATGGATGTGGTACCCTCTTCCTCGGCTTCCAGTTCCCTCTTCAACCCTTTTTTTAGTTCTCATCTCCTTCCTAAAAATAGAATGTCTCTATTAGAGGTGTAAATACAGAGGCAAGGTGCAGGATTCAGGATGGGGTGCAGAAGTGATATTAGGCAGTATCTGTCACATTTGGACCCTACTCAGCCAGCTAGAAATGCTTGGCTAATGGTATAGCATATAAGCGTCTGGCCCTCCCTCCTCAGGGATTTTGCCAAAGTCCTCAAGAAAGGGGTTCAATCGAATGAGTTAAAGCAAAATCTTAGGAGGCCATAGTCTAGAGTTGTTTCTGTACCTGGAACCTTTACTTAAACAAACTTAAGCTTTACTTAGGCTTACACCTTGTAGCTAATTAATTTTTGAATCAGGCTCCAATCACAGCTATTTAGTCTATTGGTCCTGTAATTAGGGACCTTCTATTAAGCTGCACCTAAATAAGGTGAACCTAGCTGTAGCCAATTAAATAATTACTTTGCGCCCATGTTCAGCCTGTAGAAGCTCACACTGCTCAACTGCTCGGGAGGAACTCTCTCAGCCTTTTCTGGGTTTGAGTGCTGTCAGATTAATTGTTCTTTGCTCAAATAAACTGTTATTTTGTCTAAAGTGCTCTTTTTTAAACAGAAGTTAAAAGTAAATTAAATAATAGATCCCACTAAATATTTCTGCAAGAAACAGGGAATATGTGGAGTTGATAATAGGATGCTACTCAAGGGGATTTCCTCCAGCACATCCCAGAGATGATGAGACTGGAAGGGGGATGTAGCTGGGGTTATTATCATGATACCTTAGTGACCTCTTGAGAACAGGATTATCAAGGGAAGACGAGGTGTCAGTCATGGCCACTTGAGTGCCTCTGAGAGATGGGCTAAAAAATCCCTTGACCAAGAGGAACAGTGGGGGTCTAGTGCTATGTTTCTGGTGAACCTGGAAGTGGGAGTTCAACTGTCATTGGGACCTTGTTGTACCTTCTAGGCCAGTATGTTTTAGAGAGATTTGAGTCACATAATCTGGTGTTTATAAATCTGTGTGTGAGAAATTTGAGATATGTTCTAAACTCTCAATATGCTGATATTGTGTTTATTGGGTTGTTTGACATAACAAGAGGTCTTTTTTTATTTAGGGAAAAAAGAATCTAACAGGGTATTATTCATTTTTTTCACAAAAATATTTTTTTATTTTTCTTATTTTGATTTTTTCAACATACATCATATTTTCATTTTCTTATGCCTCATATTTCATTCTGGTGGGCTTCCTTTTTTTTCTTCCAGGTAGGTGGTTATTGTCCATGTTTTACAGGTGGTGACTGAGGCCCAGAGGAAAAAGAAATAGAGTAACAATTAACATATTGGTTAATTATATCACTTAAATTAATTCAGATTTACTTGTCATTTCTGTCAAATAACAGAATCAAACAATTTCATTCTACTGCTGATGTGGCCATGATGGCTATAGATAATAAAGACTGTTGATTCTGATTCTCTTCTATCTTAAGACTCAGTCAACTAAGATGATTCTGGATAACAGAGCTGACATCATTTCCATTCTTCTGGTGGGCTTTAAAAATAGTGTAGAATATACATAATATTCTATATGAACAAATAATTAAGGGGGTTAAAGCCTGCATCTACACACATGTCCCAGAAGAAGGATAAAAAAAAATCATTAAAAAAATTCTGGTTTCTGGTGTCAGCAGATGGTGTAGTGGTTACATTGCTGGACTCCCACATGGCTAACCATGGTTCAAGTCCCGGTCCTGGTGGCTTGAAACTCCTATCAGGCGTGTGTGCGTGCATGCGTGAGATCCCAGAAGAATGGAGGAGAATGGTTAATGGTGTGCCATTCCCACTGGGGAGTGATATCTCACTTTCCCTCTCACTGTCTCTGTCTCTCATTGCTGAATGCATGAGCCCTAAGGCTAAAACCTTTTTAAAAAAATTCTGGTTTCTGAACTGGAAGTACTTTTTAGCTGAAATTCTCTAGAATTATCACAATGTCTCCTGAAACTCTCTACCAGGAGAGCAAATGTTCTCTCTCTACCAGGAAATAAATTAACTGTCATGGTTTCTTGAAACATTTAATATAGTACCTGATGGGCATGTGGAAAATAATTCTCTTTCATTACTGAGGAAAACAAAACGTGGCTAAAGGACAGCAGGTGACTATTAAAAATATGATTTCTTAATCTATCTGTATCTACACAAGGTCCATAAGTTATTCTGGTTAAATTGTTGACATCTGCTAGTAAATAAAGAAAATGATTGTTTAAAACATAATCATACTTTCAGATTTGTGTAAGAGAGAACAACCATAGCTACCTATACAAATAAATATTGGCTCACTACACTGGACCAGGAGAGATAACTATGAGGTCATGTAGTTTTGGTTTACTAGTCAGGTGCATACCCTAAGTGAAATGTGTTTGTCATGAACTTTCTCAGTTTTGAATTCTATGACAAATATGAGCTTTTCAAACATTTCCATGTAGACATCACTATTTCAAAAATCAGTAGGAGTCTTCACTCTTTAACAAATACTATTTCCTTCAGTTAGGTCAGTCTCCTTCCTGCTTCTTTTTTCTTTCTTTCTTTATCTTTTTTTTTTTTTTTTTTTTTTTTTTTTTTTTTACTTTTTAACATTCAATCACTGTGTATCATTACAGCTTGCAAAATAAAATTTCCCGCAGTGAATACACTATACATTGGTTCACTCAAAGATATTATCATACATATTATCAACAGATAATTTTCCATTTTTGTGTCCCTTAAATGTTTTGCTTCTTTCTTTTTCCCCTTCATTCCCTCCCTCTCATTTTCCTTCATTTCCCACCCTCCTCATACTATCTCTAGTATACATAGTTGCTCTCCATGCCTTTATATCTTCCAGTCTTTCAGTTTCTACCATAGAGTGCAAACATTTGGTATATATTGGGTAGAGGACACCTCTACCTCTCTTTCATAGAATACCTCTCTTTTATAGTCTGGCTACCTTGCTTCGCTTAGTAGTAAATCTTTCATATTCACCCACATTCTGTTAAATGCCAGCATCTGACTTTTTTTTTAATGGCTGAGTAGTATTCCATAGTGTATGTGTGCCACGTTTTTTCAATCCATTCATCTGTTCATGGACATATGGGTTGGTTCCGTGTATTAGCAATTGTGAATAATGCCTCAGGAAACATGGATGTGCAAGTATTTTTCCAACTGAGTGCATTCCAATCCTTTGGATAGATACCCTTCCTGCTTCTTAACCGCATTGTGCTCATCCTCCTTTTAGGCTTTTAAAAATGTATTGACATAACCTGGAAGGTTTTTTCGCCTAGTCTGTTTTTGTTCACCTCCTCTGAGGTCTTGTTCTGGATACCTACACATGTGCATGATTTTCTTTTCCAAATCCTTCCAAGTTTGTCTGAAGTACCCACTCAGAACCTTAATACATAATGTCTTCTATAAGTGGCTCTGCCATGTACTTTTACACAAGTAGTAATGGATATTAGATTGTTCATGGCTTGTTTCATTGTACATAACCAATTTCTTCAATTATAATCCTCCAAAGAGCAAGCTCTATGTCTTAATTTAATTATGTTATGTTCTTTGGCACTTAGAGGAGTGCTAGTATCTGTGAGAGGCTAATAACCTCTTGGGAATTGGTTCCAATTTGGTGTTTTCCCAGAAAGGCTTTTAATTAATTCACAGGCAGTTTAATTCATCGGATAATTTGGCTAACTTAAGACATTTATAGAGGGAACCAGCAGTTAGCATAATGGTTATGTCGCTGGACTCCCACGTAGTCGACCACGGTTTGCGTCCCGGACCCATTGGCTTAAAACTCACGCTGGGCACGTGTGCGTGCGTGCCCAAGATCCCGAGAGGAGAATGGAGGAGAAGGAATTGTGGCGTGACCATCCTCCCTGGGGGATTTCTCGCTTTCTGTCTCTATGTCTCTCTCTGTCTGTCTGGCGAGCACACATGCTCTATAGCGAAAAAAACCTCTCAGGAAAAAAAAAAGACATTTATAGAATTAAAATACACCCTTAGCAAGACATTTCACTCAGATAAAAAAAGATATATTTAAAGAGTTTTATTTCAGATTTTTTTTTTATTCAGTCACTGAATGATTTCTGTAGCTTATATGCTATACCATTAGCCAAGGCATTTTTTAAAAGTTTTTGCCATAGGGCACTTGAACCTGTGAAGAGGGACAGAGACAGTGAGAAGGAAAGTGAGAAATCCACCTCCTCCTGCCACATACTTCCAGGAGTCATGGCCATGCTGCAGTCCTTTCCCTGCATTCTCCTCCTAGGCTTTTGGGCACACCCACGCATGCACCTAGTGTGATGTTCAAGCCACCAGGTCTGGGACTTAAACCACTGTTGACTGGGAGTCTAGCATCTAAACCACCACGCCACCTGCTGGCCTTTAATAAGGCATTCTTACGTGGCCCAGGCTGAGGGCATATGTAGTAGTGACGTTATTTATTTATTTTTTAAAGAATTACTTTATTTAACTTTATTTATTTATTTATTTATTTTAATTTGAACAGAGAGGGACAGAGTGGAAGACAGAGAGAGAGAGAGAGAAAGAGAGAGAGAGAAAGCAAGCCACCAGATCTGGGATTCAAACTGTGGTCGGCTATGTGGGAATCCAACACCCTTAAACATCATGCTACCTACTGGCCCCGATTGTTATTTTTTTAAATCATGCTTTTAATTCATTTTAGGGATTTGGTTGTGCTATAAGATGTATGGTTGTTAGTATATAGAAAAAATGTAATTATTTAAATTGTTTTTATTGTAAGAGTTTTTTAAATTATGAAATCATAAATAATGCAGGAAATTTACAAGACATTAACATGCAGAAAAAGAAAACAAAATGAAAGAAGAATCACTCATAATCTCACTGATTTCTTCATCATTATTGTCTTGGAGTATTTCGGCCATGACAGTGCTT